CGAAATACAAAATATTTTCATCATAAGGCTTCCCAACGAAGAAATAAAAATGAAATCAAAGGACTCTATGACTCCAATGGTGCCTGGAGTGAAAACGAGCATGACTTTGAGGAGATACTGCAAATTTTTATGCAACGTTATTTTCTACTTCCCACCCCATGACAAAAGCTGTTGAGTCGGTCCTTGATACAGTGGAGGAAGTTATCACTTTGGAGCAAAATGCAGCCCTGACTCGCCCATTTTCTAAGGAGGGGATTTTTGAGGCCGTATGTGATATGCATCCATGTAAGGGCCCGGGATCTGATGGTGTTCATGCCATTTTCTATCAATGTTTTTGGCATATAGTTGGAGATGATATCTTGAATCATGTTTGCAGCATTCTCCATGGTGACATCTCCCTGAAGGCTATAAACAATACAGTTGTTGCTCTTATTCCGAAGGTAAATTCTCCTACCAAAATGTCTCAATTCCGGCCTATTGCTTTATGTAATGTCATTTATAAAATTGTTTCTAAAGCAGTTGTGAGACGATTAAAGTCGATCCTTTCTTTGGTCATTTCAGAAAACCAAAGTGCTTTTGTCCCGGGTAGGGTCATTACTGATAATGCTTTAATAGCAATGGAAATTTTTCATTCTATGAAAAAACAAAGTAGAAGCAAAAAGGGGTCTATTGCTTTGAAGCTCGATATGAGCAAAGCCTAAGATAGAGTATAATGGTGTTTATTGGAGAAATTGCTTCTGAAAATGGGTTTCTCTGCTCCCTGGGTTAATATGGTGGTGGAATGTGTCTCTTCGGTCTCATACTCTTTTATTGTAAATGGCTTTGTTTGCGGTGATGTTAAGCCTACTAGAGGTATCCAACAAGGCGACTCTCTCTCCCCGTATCTTTTTATCTTAATTGCCGATGCCTTGTCGTGTATGATTAAAGTCTTTACATGGAGTTCGTGCTAGCAGGAATCGTCCTAGTATTCCTCACCTGTTTTTTACGGACGACAACTTATTGTTTGTTAGAGCTAATTAACCGAGTGGAATGCTCAAAGATTGTTGATTTACTCAACTTGTACGAAGCAGCTTCCGGAAAAAAAAATCAATTTCAATAAATTGGAGGTCTCATTTAGGAAGGGTGTTTGTCAGTCAAAGAGAGAAGAGCTGGTGAATCTTTTAAATATGAAACATGTGGATGTTCATGCCAAATATCTAGGCATTCCTACTATTGTGGGAAGATCGAAAAAAGCTGTCTTTGCCGCTCTTAAAAACCACATATGGAAGAAGCTTAGTGGTTGGAAGGAAAAATTTCTCTCCCGGGCCTGAAAAGAAATCCTAATTAAATCTGTGATTCAATCTATTCCCACTTATCTCATGAGTGTGTATAGAATTCCTACTGGAATTATTGCAGAAATACACTCGATGGTGGCAAGGTTTTGGTGGGGTTCATCTAGATCAGAGCTCATAGGCATGTACATTGGAAGAGTTGGGAGGCTTTGTATGCTCCAAAGTGTGTCGTCGGTGGACTAGGTTTTTGTGATATAGGTGTTTTTAACACTTCTTTGCTTGGAAAACAAGCTTGGAGGCTCCTTCATGTTCCTAACTCACTTTTTGCCAGAGTGTTTAAAGGTAAATATTTCCCAAATACCACTTTTCTAGACTCGTCCCTTGGTTATGCCGGGAGTTATGCTTGGCAAAGTATTTGGAGCTCGAAAGCTCTTGTCAAAGAGGGTATTATTTTGTGGGGAATGGTAATAGTATCAATATATGAGAGGATCCACTACAAGAAATAGGCCTATTTCCGACGGACATGATATCCCGTCGGAAATCCCGTATATTTCGACGGATTTACATTCCGTCAGAATTTTTCGACGGATTCCCTACGGAATTAAAATCCGTCGGAATTTATGGGCTTTCCGACGGAATATTCCGTCGGAATATTAATTTTCCGGCGGAAATAAAATCCATCGGAAATTTCCGACATATTATTCAATTTCGTCGAAACATAAAATTTTCGACGGAATTAAAATCTGTCGGAAATTTCCGACGGAATATTCCGTTGGAAAATTAATATTCCAACGGAATATTCCGTCGGAATGTAATTAAATTAAAAAAAAAACCTAAAAAACCCGGATTCCCCCCTCCTCTTTTATTTCTCATTTCTCTCTCCTCTCCTCTTCTCTCTGCCTCTCTACTCCTTCTCTCTCCTCTCTTCTCCTTCTTCTTTTCCGTTTCTCTTTCCTTTCTCCATCACCTTTCTCCTTCTTTTCTTTCCTTTCTCTTTCCTTTCTCCTTCTTCTCTTTCCTCTTCATTTTCGTTCTCTGTTTCTTCTTGGTTTTTTTTTCCAGAAATTTTCGACAACAAATTACTATAGGGTTTCGGGTTTTCGTCAACAAGCAAATAATTATGGTGTTTATGATCAAATTCGATCATGAAAACTCTAAAATCTGGAGGTTTCATGATCGAATTTGGCCGTATTAAACCAAATTCGATGAGAAATTAACATCCAATTTCAGTGTTAAGATATGTTTTCTTGATTTTAATTTTCTTTCTCTTTTTTTTTTTTTGCTTTTTTATGTTAATTGTTGGGTTGTAATTGTGGTTTTCGTAGTAGTGGTGGTTGTGGATGTGGTTATGGTTGTGATTGTTTTTTTTTTTTTTTTTTATTTATTTTTATTTTTTTATTTTCGGCGATAGTGGTGGTTGTGGTTTCTCTGTTTTTATATATATATATAATTTTTTTTTGTTAATTTCCGGTAATAGTGGTGGTTGTGGTTTGAGGGTGTTTGGGTGGTAGATCTGGATTTAGGTTGGTTAGGGTTAAGTGGGGGGTTAAGGTGGTGGGTGTGGTTCGATTAGGCTGGGTGGTTGGGTGGTTCGGTTAGGGTGGAGGTACTGGGTTGTGGTGGTGGGTTAAGGTGGGGGTACTAGGTCGGTACGGTTTTAGGTGGGGTGGTGGTGGGTGGGTACGGTTAGTGGGTGGAGATGGGGTTAGTTGTGGTGGTCTAGTGGGGTAGGGTTTGGGTGGGGTGGGTTGGTCTGGGTGGGTTAGAGGTGGCTAGGGCTGGTGGTGGGTTCAGGTAATATGGGTGGGTGGGTTCAGGCTAGGGCTGGTAGTGTGGGCTGGTGGTAGGGGAGGTGGGTGGGGCTGTTTTTTTTTTATATATATTTTTTTTTTATTAAAGATTCCGACGGAAATTTCCGTCGGAAGAGGTATATTCCGACGGAATCTTTTCCGTCGGAAAATTGCGACGGACTGTCGATTAAAGTCAAAAACAGCGCCGACAGAAATAAATCCGTCGGAAATTCCGTCGAAAACTAGCCTTCCGACAGAAATTCCGTCGGAAAAGGTCGAATTTCCGACAAAGTGTTTTCCGACAGACTCATTCCGATGGAATTCCGACGGAATTTCCGATGATTCCAACGGATTTTTTCCGTCGGAATCAAGCTGCATTCTTGTAGTGATCCTTGGATTGCAGATGAAGCAGGGCGTTTTATTTCAAGTGAGAAGTCGGAGGATGTTACAACGGTGAATGATATCATTGACAGTGAGAGTGGTGGGTGGAATTATACTCTGATCAGAGCCCTTTTCAATGCGAGGGATATGAAGTGTATCGTATCAATTCCCCTTAGTGAGCGTCCTGTGGATGACTGTCTAACTTGGGGTTCTCCAACACTGGGCTTTACACTGTAAAGACAGCATATTTTCTTGGCAAAGGGTGTAACTTGGACGACCTTCATAGAGCCTAGGTTGAGATATGGAAAACTGACACCTCCCCAAAAATTAAGCATTTCTTATGGCGAGCTTGTACAGGAACTCTCCCAGTCAAGATGTTGCTACATTATCGTCACTTAAATGACTCCAATTGCTGTCCATGGTGTAACAGTGCTGAAATTTAAAGCCATGCGCTCTTTGAATGTCCTTCTGTGTGTGACCTGTGGGCTGAAAGTAAATGCACAAACATGGTGGAGAATTCCCATAGTTTCAGCTTTCTCGATTTACTTCTCTCGTGGGGTAAGATTAATGTAAGAAAAAGGCAATTATGCTATGCTCTCTTGTGGCAAATTTGGAGCAGACGCAATAATAAAGTCTTTAATAACAAAGACACCCCTCACAAGTTGATTTTGGATAGAGTTAAATGGTTCCTGACTGACCACAATGCTTATACTATCAAAATATATGGAGGTAAGCCAAAGCAGCAACGAATTGCATCAAAAATCTGGCTCCCCCTGATGAGCTTATAAAGATCAATTGTGATGCTTCACTAAATGTGGAAGGGTGGATAGGCCTTGGTGCTATTGCCCGAAACTCAAGAGGGGATGTTATTTTTGCTGGCACTAGGAGGCTTCGGGGCTACTGGCCACCTGACATAGTTGAAGCTATGGCCATCAGATTTGCTACCAAGCTGGGCAGATGCTTCAATATGTCAAATGTTATGATTGAATCGGGCTGCAAAAGCATCATCAATCGTCTTGAAAAGCAGTAAATCTCTGTTACTCACTGTGAGAAACGTTTTTGTTTCTCGTAGTGGCTGTTTCGTAAATAAAATGCACCGCCATGACTAAAGTGGTACAATTTTATCATCCATTTCGTAAATAAATTGTACCACCGTGACTAAAGTGGTACCTTTTATTTACGAAACTGCCAATGTGAGAAACGAAACGTTTCTCATAGTGAGTAATGGGGGCGCCCTCCTCGAAAAGCCTTCGATTTATTTTACAGATTTAGATAGTATTCTGGATGATATTTTAGTTGCTTGTTCTTCTTTTAATTTTGTTATTTGGTCGCATGTCAATCGTGAAGGCAACTTTGTTGCTTATCACTTAGCTAGAGTAGTCCCCTTCGGGGTTGAGCAAGTATGGGCTAATCATTGTTTTGCTGAGATTATGCCGTATGTAATCATGGACAATTTGTCCTCTAATTAATCTACTTCTACCCTTTGCCTCAAAAAAAAAAAAAAAAAAAAACATATATTATAATGATCAAAATAATGACTTGACATATGTGAATCAAACTATACTGTTACATATAAAAACTAAAAACAAATGAGGGAGTAGGTGTTCATAGGAGGAAATAACACTCTTAATCTCAAATTAACATGAAACCTAACTTAAATCCGAAATCAATTACTTGAATCAAAAACTCTAATAAACAAGTCAAAACGTATTTTACAATTTTCAACAAACACCTTGAACATAAATCAAAACTCTATATAGAAAAACCTACACTCCCTTGTGCCTTGTCCCTTCCTTACTCCAAAATAGAAAAGAAAACCAAGGCCCAATTTCCGTAAAGAAATAATCAATGGACTAAAGTAGACCGCAAATTTTAACCATGGTGCATGTAAAACTGTGTGCTCCAACCAATAATTAAATATTACAACTTGGAAGCCCCCTTAAAGACCCAAGTTACAGTAAATAAATACTTCGTATAACTGAAGAAATTATTGGTTGCATGTACAACCTCACTAGAAATTACGAAGTATTAAGAAAAAAAAAAAACACATTAACATAGCATCAACCACTACATATCGTAGGAAATTAAGATGTAATCAAGTTAGTTTGATAGTATGAAGATGAAAAACCAGCCTTCTTGAGTTTTTCTTGCATTTCCTCAATACGCTTAGCCAATGTAGGAGTCAAGTATTTGTTCCAATCTCCAACCTCCCCCTTTCTTAATAAAATCTTGTTCTCAAATTTAGTACTTAGCCTTCCAATCTTATTTACCTCCATTTCCTTCAAACTTTTAAGACTACATAACTCAACTATTTTGTTTATTACATTGTTTTTCTCTTCTACCTCAGAGAAAGGGTAACCCAAAAACTCAGCCAATCTTTTCAAATGAGCTTCTGGCTCTTTCTTTAGCCCTTCATATTCCAAGAATATCACCTTTTGTTGGTTTTTCTTGCTCTCTTTCCAGTACCCTAATACGTGATCTTCATAAGGCCCCCATGGAGAGACACCCGAGCAAAACTTATCTACATATTTCTCCATCATAACTAGATCGGGTTTAATGCCCTTACACGGCTCAAACTCTAGGAAAAAATGCCATATTGAAACGAAGGTGTCAAAAGGATTTCGACAAACATAAACAATTCGACATTTTGAATTCTTGATAGAATCTGGTAGTGATAAATACGACACGTGGGTAGCAAAGAGTCGAGGTGAGGGTATTTCAGATAAGTCTGGTTTATTTCCATTGACTTCTTTGTAAACATTTATCTCTAGGTGTTCGATGAGTGCATGAGGATTTTTGGTGCGGAGTGGGTGTTGAGTGAAATCATCAGAAAATTTTGTACGATTTACAATGGCAAAAATAAGGGATTTTAGCCACGTTGTACCGGTTTTGGGTAGACTGGCTAAAATGATATCAGTATCATGAGCTTGAAAGTGGGTTTTGAATGAGATTATACCCTCCAAAATATAACTTAGGCACCATAAACCTTGATAGAGGTACATTGGCCAAACAAACCATGTTTCGTTTGGAAGGGAGAGTTGTAGCTCTTTGATTTCGTCCAGCAAATTTTCTTGAGCTTTGTTGTTTGTAAGCTCTAAGGTTTCCATCTAAATAAATGTAATGGGTATGTTAACAATGGCGAAAGAGTTGCATAATATAATTGTAATTCCTAAATCCTAAGGCTAACTCGTATAAATAATTAGTTGTATACCATGAATAAAAATACAGCTGGAAATGAAGGTCGTGCAAATAAGTTTTTGCTCACAACTTCACACGATGAAGCTTTAATTTGTATATAAGTCAACTATTCTACTTTTGATCTTCACTAAATACGTGGAAGTGATTAAAGTCTAAAATAATTCCAGTATTATATGAAGTAGTCTTTCAAGGATTAATTGGCTGACACACTGTTTACTTCTTTTTAAGGATTTGACAATGATAGAGTATATAAACCAATCTTGAATTGGGCTTCAATTATCAATTAAACTTTTTGGTTGAGTTAATCCTTTAACGTGGTATCATTGGTCATCTCAACTCCTCTAGCCCGCAGTCTTCCCACCCTAACACAAACAAGCATACATACACACCCTTGAAAATGCAAAGTGTAATTGGTTGTGGACTTGTGGTAGAGCTCTATTTTCCTGCTCAAGCCAAACCTTAAAATGTGTAGCAATTACTTGCATGCAACAAGAAATAACCTCTCAAACTGCACCTCAATCTACCTATAGTTAGGAAAAATGGGAGCCATAAAATTGATGAAAAATACCTTGAGGCGACCCTCGAAAAGAACTTATTCCAAAACCTGTTGCAATAATATATATTAGATGTAAAATGATTGCATAGCGATTTTTATTCACTTGATTGCAATTATCTGAACTTATCTTAACTTACCTAAACTTATAAAACTTATTTCCAAATTGCACGTATTTAGACTTAGGCCCCGTTTACTTCGCTTTATTTTTGCTGAACTGAAATGATTTTTACTAAACTTAAATTAGTTTCACTGAACTGAAATTAATTTTACTGAACTGAAATTATTTTTGCTGAACTGGAATTATTTTTACTAATTTTCTATTATATTTCTTCTTTATAGTTACTGAATTTTATTAAACTGAACTTATTTTTACTGAATTGAAATTATTTTTACTAAACTAAACTTATTTTAATGAACTGAAATTAATTAAACTGAACTGAAATTATAATTACTCAATATTATCTTTTTAAGGTTAAGTGAACATGGCCTTATTAGGCCTGAAATAAGTAAAAATAAGATGAACAAAAAAGGCCCTTAAACAGTCCTAATAACTACTAGGTAGTCCCAATATGTTAGGGTATGTACTATATGCATGAGATTGATCATATACTCAATTTTTATACTTCTATCATATACTTATTTTGTTAAAGTGGTATTTCTCATTATAAATAACAAATACATTAATCAGCTAGTTCATCAAATCATCATCTTAGATCTTATTATGTTTAATTTGATACCAAAGAATGATTGGACATTCCCAATGTGTTAGGGTATTTAATATAATACTGATCATAGGTTCAATTTGTCAACTCTTGTCATTTACTATGATAAAGAAGAAACTCTTTTCAAACCGAAGTAAACATGTTTCAAATCAACACATTTCAACCTATTTCTTGTTAACATTTGTTTGAAATATATTCCTTAATAATGTTAACAATAATAATAAAGGACAGAATAGATATCCTTTAATGATAACAATAGTTATAAAGGATGTATTCTATTACTTAAACAATATACGTTATTATAATCTTAACAAGAAAGAATATTCTTGTGAAGTTATAACAATCCATAATATATATATATATATATATATATATATATATATATAAATATATATATATATATATATATATATATATATATATATATATATATATATATATATATATATATATATACACATATGTACATATGTATGTACATATGTACATATGTATGTACATATGTACATATATATGTACATATATATATACATATATACATATATATGTACATATATACATATATATGTACATATATACATATATATATATATATATATATATATATACATATATATATATATATATATATTATAAAGTACGTCAATACTTGTACCTGTACGCCCTCCCCAAATTATAAAAACTAAGTATCAATAATTATGTACTAAAGGCGAAACCAAGAAGCAAGAATATTTCCCGCCTTTTTCGCCTTTTTTTTTTTTCCTTTTTTGCCAAATCTTCATCTCTTTTTTTTGGCAATTATATATGAAGTATATTCTATATTGTAATAAACAAAATTTTTTTAACATATCTTTCATATATACTACGTATAAGGTAATATATTACAATTGAATATACTATCAATTAAACTTTGTATGTTTTTGTTGGATTTTTTTTTTTCCACTCTAACCGGGATTGACACTTAGTATATACTCATTGATTTAATTGTAATAATAATAACACTATTTATTCAATATCTATAAATATAAATTGAACACTAACTATTGCCATAAAAAAGAAAAAAAGTTAATTAAATTTGTAAAAAATATTGTGCCAGTCAAAGTATGCCAACAAAATAGGGGCGGATGAGATATATAAGTACATTGCAAGGGTAGTAATTAACATAAATTTTCATTATAAAATAAAAATCTATAATCATTAAATTTCTTAAATTTATAAAAACTAACAATGATAAATAACTTTCAACATCAATATATAAATAATATTCAAGTTTAATTTTTTCAAAAAAAAAAAAAAACAAATTCAAGTTATTTTGTTTCAATTGAAAACATAGTTATTTTTTTATTTTGCAAATTATTGTTAAATTAGCATTGTAACTCATAATTAGGTTAAGCAAAATCGTGTGTTGCATGGGACTTAAACTATTGTTAATAAAAACTATGTATTGTTGATAAAAATATTAAACAATATTTAATAAACATATTTTTTAGGGTGATGTCTTTTTTTATAAAAAAGATTCCTCCCTTATATTCAGATTTTATTTTTATTTATTTACATATTTGAAACAATTAAAATATAGGCAAAGATTTTATCATATATTCCCTCCCAAATCACGCTTTCTCTGTTTTCGAATTAGACGACTAAAATTAGACAAATAATACATTAACGTTTACCATAATCGATCGTAGTCGTCCATAGTCGATTGTAGTTGACTTGACTACGGTAGAAATTTTATAGAACACCATGGTTGCCCCTACGATTGGCTGCCATAAGTGACAACCGGCGACACTCTTTTGACTTAAATATTCTCTTAAGCAAATTAAATTATTTTATTCCATCATACAACTTTTGCTATTTTGAAGTCAAGACAAATGCACTAATTCAGCACATACATGATGACCTAAACAAAATGTTTTACTTTGTATTTTTTTGGAATCTTTCAATACACCAATTCAAAAACGTAAGGTGGCTAATATAACACATTATTATTTTTTCGGTGACGACCATTATTATTGTGCTTATATATATAGGTCATCTCAACTCCTTCTCTAGTCCCCACCCACACACAAACAAACATACACATACACACCCCCCTTGAAAATGCAAAGTTTAATTGGTTGTGGTAGTTCTATTTTCCCGCTCAAGCCAAACCTTAAAATGTATAGCAATTACTTACATGCAACCAAAAACAACCTCTCAAACTGCACCTCAATGCTACCTATAGTTAGGAAAAATGGGAGCCATAAAATTGATGAAAAATACCTTGAGGCAACCCTCGAAAAAGAGCTTATTCCGAAACATGTTGCAATAATATTAGATGGAACTAGGAGGTGGCTTAAGGCTCAAGGAAAACCTCTAAATTATGATGCCTTCTTTCAATCTAACACCCTCTTTGCTGACCTTTGTCTTAAGTGGGGAGTTTCTACTGCCACCACTTTTATGTATTCTTTCAAAAACTTACAAAGAGGCCAAGTGAGTGTTCCTTTAATATCTTCTCTGATTATTTCAACGATTATTATACTGCCTCTGTTAGTTTCTTTTTAATTGCAACAAACGAATTTTTTATGTCTCACAAATAATACCGTTTATTATTACTAAAAAAAATTGAAACTGATATATAAATAAATTATGTGAAACTAATTATGGTATGTACTAGTTGAAACTGATAAGATGAATAATAGCTTATTTTTCACGGGTAGAAATTTGTTTAAAGGATAATATGTTTTTGAACTTGAAAATGGGATGATTAGGATATAATTCCTCGATTTTTTTATTACACTATTTGGATTGGTACGGGATTTAAGAAAAAATGTAAAAAATGGATCGGAGTATGTCAAAAGTGCCCATGTGAAATAAACAAATGAAAAATTGAAAAAGTAGGGTAATAATGGTTTCTTTCCAAAAAAAAAAAGGGTAATAATGGTTGTAATCTCATGTAACCAAGGGTAGGTAGGGAATTTTGTGTATGAACATAACCAAAATGTGAAAAAACATACCATATAGGAAAATTGTGCAATTAATATGCAAATTCCCAAAAAACAAAAAAAGTGGTGCAATTAAGAAAACGAAGGAAGTATTATTGTTAAACTTTTACGATTGATTTTATATATAATTGATCCAGCTTCATTTTTCTAGAAGGTAAAATGAACTTATATTTTCATTTGAATCAATTGCAGGAAGCCAATGATCTATTATTTGGGCAACTTGAAAGATATTTAGAGAATAATCTGGAGAATTTTATAAGGTGATGATTAACCATTATGGCAGAACCCTAATAAGCCTAATTGTAATTAGTTTGCAAATAATATGATGCTAATAATTATGTAAAATTGAATCGTTTTACAGTTTAGTAAATGTAGCTCATGCAGTCATGCATGTTATGAAATTGCAGGAAAGAAATAAAAGTGTCGATGATCGGAGAAAGATGGCTACTTCCCAAGTCTTTGCAAGACGTTATAAAACAAGTGGAAAATGCAACAAGTACAAAGCACACAAAAAAGTTGGAGTTGATGTTAGCAATATGTTATTCTGGGACTGGAGATATATTGCAAGCTACTAGGAACATTTGTGAAAAGGTCAAGGCTGGATTGGTTGAACCCAAAGCCATCGACGAGGCCATGTTGGATCAAGAGCTATGGACTCGTGGCGGGCCTCACCCTGACTTGCTTATACGAACTGGTGGTCGCCTCCGTGTTAGTGATTATTTGATGTGGCAGCTAGCCCAAACCGAGCTATATTTCTCCCAAGTTTCCGCACCGGAATTTGGAGAAATTGAGTTCCTCCAAGCCTTGCGCTCCTTTCAGCAAAGGGAAAGGACGTTTGGAAAGTGACCAAATGTTATATTTTGCACTTTTTAAATTTTATATAAATTGTAAACGAGGATGTCAATTGATAAAGTCTCAGGGATGGTACTCAATATATAACTTAATTAAATCGAATTTTGTTTACATCCAGCCCTTTGTGGCTTTCTCTTTAGCATTGTGAGGTTGTGGTTTATATCCCACTTTTGTGGCTTTCATTTAGAAATGTGAAGTGGTTCATTTGTAATAGCATTGTGAAGTTGTTTTTCATTTGTAATAGCATTGTGAAGTTGTTGTTATTTGTAATAGCATCGTGAAGTTGTGGTTCATTTGTAATAGTCTCACATCAGCAAAAGTATAAAGAGAAAAAAAAAAAAAAAAAAAAAAAAAAAAAAAAAAAAAAAAAAAAAAAAAAAAAACCTATAAAATTCAGTACAGGACACGAATTAGCTATCAAATTTACACAACAAATCATTTAAACTCAAACCCCGTAGACGTATAATATATATGTGCAAATAGAAATTTAACTACAGAGTACTAACCCAAATCACAATTTATACCCAATCTGAACAAATTTATACAAAGTGTATAAAAACTTAAGCTTGGCAAATATATTTACCTAATATTTTTTTTTTTTTTTTTTTTGAAGCAATATATTTACTTAATATAATATATCAATCATTTTTTTTTTATTTTTTTTAATTAAAGAAGTTTAAAAGCTAGATTAATTAAGGGTGCTCCGAATGAGCTAAGTTAGAGTTATTACAGACCATAAGAGTTAAAGTAAAATCTGTAGCTAGTTGATACATAAAGTTCATAGGCTCAACAAAGAAAGAGCTTAAAACACCCACGCAGGGGAAGAAACCACCTGTACTACCATCAAAAGGGCTGTCAGCCAGATTCCAAAGCATGCACTTCATGCCCACCAAGCACCTGACCAGCTTGGGATGCTAGGAGATTGTCTTGCTTGACCTGCTCCCTGGTTATACACTGAAGTTTCTTCACCTGGTTTCCAGATAGAAACTCCATGCAAACATGAGATATGTTAAAATATATGTCTTTTTTTTTTTTCGCCCTCCAGAAATTCACTTCATTGTTGTCTTAGAATCTGAGCTAATGATAACATCACTCCAATTTTTAGCCTTAGCCCAAGTAGAGGCAGCAAGAATGGCTAGGAATTTAGCATAGTTAGCATCACAAGCATTGGTTTTGATTAAGTATCCGATGCTACCTCCTCTATCGGGTCATATATATATATATATATATATATATATATAATATATAATATATATATATATATATATATATATATATATATATATATAATATATATATATATATATATATATATATATATAATGATAAAGGGGAACTAGGTGGTTTTGACTTCCCATTAACAAACCATGACATACATTAAAATAATTAATGGCATAAACACATACATAATAGCATGAAACAAAGAACACAACCATACATATATAGTTGATACAATGATCTACATAATACACCAAGATATATGGGATATATATGCTGCCTTATTCATCTAGGTCACTTTCTTGGCCGAGACAGGAAAAAGTGACAAAAAAAACCTGTCTTAATGCCTAGCAGCCTCTAATATCTAAACAAGATGTTCAGCTCCCTCTCCCACAATTTTAACTAGTTGTTTGACTTCGTCATGAATCTTCTCTTTCAAATTATCATACTCGTTAGCAACTTTGTGGGCTAGACGTTTAGCTTCCGGGCCAATATCGTCCAGTGCAACCATGACAAAGTTTTTATGCGCCACCGCATCATATACCTTCTCGCCAAGCTGAAGAGCGGCTTCGACTCCTAAGCCAGGCAAAACCTATTTCCCAAATTTCCAAAGTGTTGATACTAATGATAAGGTATGCCGGGGAGGCTTCACCAGAGTTTCAATGGCTCCTGACTGCAAAACGATTAGTACATAATTAAAGGCAGGTGATAAGGTGTGTGAGTATAAAAATCATATAAAAATATTAAAGATCCGGTTTTTTTAATGGGTTTTTTTTTTTTTTTTTTTTTTTGAAAAATATTAAATTGTTGTTCAAGTGATATAGTAAAAGCTAAGAGCATGTTTGGTAAGAGCGTTTTTAAGGTAAAATAGATTCAATTAAACCATTAACATTACTAAGTGTTTGGTTAAAAAGTTTAGGTAACAATTATCATTGTCTAGGTGTAATGGTTTCTATATATTTGTTACGTCTCTAAAACCCAAGATAATAATTACCCATACCGTACTGAAACGAAAAGAAAATGAGCTAGGTTTAAGTGAGTCCTTTTTAGGGTTAAACTAAACAAATAGAAATGTAAGTGTTAAATAATAATTTCTTTCCTTTCTCTTATTTGTTTCCTTTTTAAACCATTTTCATTATTCATACCAAACGCCCTCTAAAAGTTTATATGTATACCTTATGTTGTAGGCTTGAGTCATCATTGAGAGCAGCTGGAGTATACAGAAGCGTCTTTACTTGTCGACGAATTTTTCCTAGATTGACCATTCTGTCAGCAAATAGATCCAAAATACCAGCCCAAAACTGAGGGTCTTATTTCAGCATTTGAAAGAGCTTGGAGAAGAGAACTTGAAGCTCTTGTTTCTCACTAGGGTGAATTGGGGAAGTGTCAACAAGAAGAAATCCCAACGTTTTGTGGTGCGCCTCCATAGCTTGAATGAACTCATCCTTTGCACCACTATTTTCGGGTTCGTTGGGATAGGACCATGCAGCTAACCAATACCAAAGGGTTAGTAAGAAAATTAGATGTTTAGGTTGGCTGTCGTCGTCTAGGACATTATCATAGAACAAACCATCTTTAGTGCTACACTTTGTTATGTCTTTGAGAACATCTTTCATTGAAACTACTTCTTGTATCAAGGAACTGACCACTCCAATCCATGTCTCCTCCGGCATTCCGGAGACAATGGAGTTGAAGGGTTTCGCCATTTCAGGGATGCTGATGATCATATCCTTCGACTCGGTTTCGATCCCTTGAATGGCCAACCGCAGAAGTCTCATGCGCCGGTAAATGTCGATTATTGAGTGTGTCTTCTTCTTCATTTCCTCGTCTTTTTTTGTAGAATCCGCAAAATGCCATGTCAGCATGCAATGGGATAGTGACAGGACTGCCGCTGAATTTTGGTTTCGAGGCGCTTCCATGATATTCAATGTATGATCACACTTCTTCAATTCAGCAACCTATATAAGCCAAAGAATATGATTAATTAGTGAAAAAAGCGCCGAGTAACTACGTACGTAATAGAATAGTTTCATATTATTGGCAATAAAAGGGTGATGTAAATTATTCATTTGTTACAAATAATATATAACGGATGTAATAACACAATAGATAGACTTTGAAAGTGAGGGGGAAAGGGTAAGGGATACCTACCCTAAAAGTGGCTCTACTAAGATTGAATCTCCAACCTCAGAGTTTAAAGGTGTAATCTTTCCCACTATACTAAACTTAGCTTCTATTCAAGTATTTACATTATATATAAGCTACTTGAACGAATAATCCATAGAGTATATCCTAATTAAGATATTATTACCTTTTGTGTAATTCAAATAAAATTAGTTAAATATAAAAATTTAATTGAAATGCAACAAAAAGATATTTATAGATTAGTAGATATATAATGTATAAAATAAAGTACAAAAAGATATTTATAGATTAGTAGATATATAATGTATAAAATAAAGTACTCCATTTTACATACTGTAAATTCTCAATCAACGAACAGCTCGATCACTATGCACGTCTGTACGATAGTGCAGTGTTTTTTTTGAGAGAAGATTAGTAATGTAGACTGTGTAATCCCTTCACTAGATTATTATCCTATTTATAGAAGTCGTGACTCTCCATCCACCACTCAATTTGTTTGGCTAAAAAATAATACGAAGTATGTATGTATCCAAATAACCTAATTATAATAAATAAAAATTTAAAGGGAACCACAACTACAAAAATTATTTCTAATTATTGGATAGTTTGATAAATTTTTAAATTGTGACCTATTTATTACACAAATTAATTAAAGTCTTTCAACCATCAACGTAACAACAATAGTTGCCTACATTCGATAGTCTTTTGTGGCCTGGGCATGCATCATAATTAACTATTTCCCCGTTCCTTTATTGATTTATTTTGAAACTACTACTAATTAAATTAATTTAGATACATCCTTCAGTTAACATTTTTTATTTTTCATCGCGTTTGTTATACATAAATTAAATATTAATAATTATATTATATGATAGGGAAATTATAAGAAGTTAGATATTTTTAAACTATATGTTGTGATAAATTTATTACAAGATTCCACATAGTTATATTTTACATTATGTATAAATGGTACTAAATCAGAGCATGTCAATTAAAAAAAAAAAAAAAAAGAAAAAACAAAGAAGTTTAAACAACGAAATTTAAACAAATCATATTTAACTATATATTGGTCTTAAATTAATATGATATGCAAATATGCACAACACCCCAGAATAATTGGGTCACTTGACTTTTTTTGTCAACTTTATTTGACCTTTTTTTTTTTTCTTTTTTTTCTTTTTGCTATTAAAAATTGATAAGTAAGTTGTTGTTGGATTTATCTTAATGTATATTATTGAAATATCATGTTTTAATTAAAAAATTAGTTTATGTAACAGCAATAAAAGATGGTCAAAATTGACAAAAAAAGTCAACTGTCTCAATTATTCTAAACGGAGAATATATTAACATTATTCGTGACACACACCACGGATCTATATAGTAAAAAACAAGGAAAATTTTCCAGTTGTAGCCCTTTATAGTATACATTAGGTAGTCTCGTGCAATGCACGATTTTGACAAAAAAATTTGTTATATTGTCACAATTACAAAGTTATTGGACTAAATTTGGATATTAATTAACAAAATAAATTTTCAAATTATAAAATGAATAGCGAAATAGATGACAAAAATTTTAACTAAAATAATATAAAATATAAAGAGATGACATCACATATATTTTGGGCAGAAAAATGTTATACCACGTATCTTGACATGTGTATAGTTAGAAGAAGAGATGATGTTAGCGGTTATGTTTTTAGTAATAGTTATAGATTTTGCCAAGCCAATTGGAGTCCTTAAAAAAAAAAATACAAATTACAACCAAGGTGTGCTATTGAGTTTTTAATTGACATGCAATCCTATTTTTAATCCAAACTTTTAATTGAGGTTAGTTTGAATGGATAATAGGGTTGGGTGTCAATTCACAAGTTAATAGTAATTTTTGGTTATAATTGAATTTGTTTTAAAAAGACTGTAATCGACAACATGTAAAAGACTGTAATTAACAATATGTATATTTTTAGGGGGTGGGGGAGAGGGGAGGGGATGGGGGGAATTCAGTCCCCACTACCCGTTTCCC